ATTATATAAAAAGTTAAAAAGGTTAACATTTACTACTATCGATTTTATACTTTTTTTATGTATTGCCTAACGGGTTCTCTAACAGGTGAAGAGTTAGATAATGTATACTGTTTGCTTATTTCACAAGAAAAAACTGTTTTTGTCAGTTTTCTCCTAAAACTCATAATATATGCATCTCTCGAAGAAATTCGTAATAATCAATTTAAAAGAACATTAAATTTCCTCTAGTAAACACGTTAATATATGAGAAAATTAAGCTACTTGTCAAACCGTATGGAATTAAAAGTGTATCTACGCATCCCATGTAGTTTCTGCCGATCTCAACTTCAGTACTTTTTATTCTTTGTTCTTTTGATTCGGTTAATTTAAATATTTTATAACAGAACTAGAATGTTACAAATTACATAGATTTATTTATTATGTTGCCATGAAAGACTTCAACATCCATAAAAATCATAAAAAATTAAGTACCAAAATGTGCTTCAATTCATTTTGAATCGAATTGATACATAAACTTGAATTACCAAAGTGCATCAACATTTTTTATTGGGATCAGAGATAATCGTTAATATACGAAAAGTTTGAAAGACATTAGAGCGCTGGAATGTTATTAGAACCATCATAAAAGAACTGGAGGCAATCGTTTCAGAATGAATCCTACAAGACTGATGCCATCTTGAATTGGAGAAGTTAACCGTCGGATTTCCACCTCGATCATCTACTTCAGCGTCACATTGGATATGCACCTTACCTATTATTTATTTATTTATTTTAAACTCTGGTTTTACTGGCAATACGGGTGTCTGCAGTAATAATATGTTAAGCAGGTCAGCTTAACATCTCACTACTGCAAGTAAAGCTTGATCATCGGTTCTTTATTGATTTCTTCTGTTTCCTATTGTGGTTTTCCTCGACTTTTCATGCCAATGGTCTAATAGTTCCTCCTGTTCTTAAATTGAAAAGGGCTGGGCCCAGCGCGCTGTCTACCCTACCCGTACACAAAATCTTTGTGGTTACGGGTAGTGACTAGTTGAGAGAAATCGTTCTCTGTGAGAATGTAGAGACCGGTATCCCTTAGTAGTTTAGTCCATAGTTCTTCAAAGGCGGTGCAGTCGGGTATGGTGTCCTCAGCAGTCTCGGGGACACTATTATCAGACCTAAATTGTTCCATCGCGCTCCCCTTCTCCGTGCCTGAGCTCATAGGCAGGAAGTACATCCAATTTTTTGATGGACTGAAGTCCTGTTACTTTATGTTACCTATTACTTCAGTATATCGCCCACCACACAGGCCTGGGAGGTGGCAAAGTAAGCTCCCTGCGTTAAACGTGCTCACCGAAGGAAGGAGTCTGAATCCTGCAGTCCATACCAAATTGGAAATATTGTAAATAGTTGTATATATAATAAACTAGCAATGATTGTTACACGGCCTCGTGGCACATTTTTCAAAGCAGTTTTATCCCCTTGCTTTAAAATGCCATTGGGCAATGTAAGGATAAAGCAACAAGATATATTTGTATATATTTCATCTACTTATATTGTAATAGTTTAAAAATAAAATGGAGGATAAGAAAAAAAAATCGAGAAGTTAACCGAAGAATTTAAGATCGAAACTTGGTACCAATATAAGGCTATTGTCAGTGGTTAAACTGGCGGAAAAAACTGAAGATTAGATTGGGTGAATTTTTATAACTGATGGCCTTGACTTTAATAACATTTTGGGTTGTTTAACCTAGAAGTAAATGGATCGGATTTTCACTAAATTGAACTCTAATGGGACACTAGTTGACAATACGGAACGAATGTTGGTGTAGGTAGGTGTGAGGAAAATTGAATCATTCAATGAATGCTCAGAATCTCAACAAATGTTTGAAGTAAGGTATCAAAATATTATCAACTGAAGTTCATATATGATGCAATATAAAAACTTTTGAGAGCTAATTTTATAAAATTTAGCAGAGATAAATGGATTGTATTTTCGCTAAATTGACTTCTGTACTACCCTAATATGTATAACAGTAACCACTTCGAAAGAAAAAGAAAGAGACTAACACCTACCTACATGAATTGCTGTTTAATTATATGAACAATGATACTTTTAGAGATAATTTTTTCTCACATGGTTATATTTTACCATTTTGAGGGAGGGAGAGGGACGTCAGCCCTAAAGTCTTCTCCCCTCCCTTATATTCTGATGTGCTTGAGGAACAGCTATGTTATTTTATTTAACTATTTAACTGGAGGGATATTTTCTAGAGAGACAAGCTAATAACTTATTGAACAAAAGTTGTGGTAAAGAATAGAGCGCCACCGATTGTGTGTTGAGGAGATGATCTTGATAATATTATATTGTATAAACGAGTAGGGCATGATCAGGTGATGTCGCTTACTGTATATTGAATGCATTAGGGAAAAGGATACCTCTCTGTGAGAGTTGTAACTGGGGTATACTAGCATACTATATTTAAATAATCAATAATAATTATAAGATCAACTATAATTTTAAACAACGGATTCACAAACACTAAATCAAATCGATCATGTCTCTGATACAACATAGCTGGGGCAAAGCAGTATAATTAATGTACGGTCTTATCGCGGAGCAGAATGTGGGTCGGATCATGAATTAGTAATCGGGAAACTTCGAAAAAAAATTTATATAAAAAAGAAAACCGTTTCTATTTTGAGAATTTTAATTTGGAAAAATTAAAAAATCCATCAATTAGAATCAAATTCGAGCTAATGTTAAGAATAGGTTTGAAGCTTTAGCGCTTTCTTACGAGGACCGCGAGAATGTTAACAAGTTATCGGTAGAGATCAGAGATAATGTTAAAGCGGTCGGTAACTCCTGTCTAGGAAAAAAAGAAAATAAGAATAACAAACCGTGGTTTGATGAAGATTGCTTAAACATGTGCGAAAAAAGAAAAGCCGCTAAATTAAAAGCTCTAAATAATCCTAACCAAGACAAATTGGAATACTTACATTGGAATACAAACACCAAGGAATGAAACAACAAAATTGCTCAAAAATAAAAAAAAGGGGTATCTTAAAAATAAAATAATTGAAATATAAACTAATAGAATTAAAAATAACGTAAGAGACATGTACAAAGGTATAAAAAATCACATCACGTAATTGTTTAGGGCCCGTCACGTCTTTAATTAGGGATGAAAATAACAATATTCTGACCGATCAGGTTGACATATTAAATAAGTTTAAGAACCACATTGACAAAATTTTAAATACGTGAAATTATGATCTATGTCCTCCTGAGTACTAGAGTGCTGAACCAATAATAGAAGAACCGAGTAAAGAGGAAGTAGCTACCGGAAAATTAAAATCTTATAAAGCAGCGGGAACCGATAATATTCCTACCTAAGTAATTCAGGCATGCGGGGAAGCTGGAGTTTCTAAAATACATCGGTTGATTAAAAAGATCTGGAAGAATGAGAAACTACCAGAAGAATGGAAAGAATCTATTCTTATTCCGATTCACAAAAAGGGCTCGAGGACGGATTGTAATAACTATCGAGGAATTTCACTAATTCCGGTATGTTATAAAATATGAACTTTAATCTTAAATAGTAGAATCACGGAATACACTAAGGAAATTATCGGAGACTACCAATGCGGATTTAGGTGGAATCGTTCGACTATTGATCAAATATTTTCTTTAAGGCAAATATTAGAGAAAAAATTAGAGTACAACGGTATTGTTCACAAGCTGTATATCGATTTCAAAAAGGGTTACGATTATATTGACCGCCAGAAACATCATAATATTCTAATCGAGCAGGGAATTCCAAAAAAAACTAGTAAATCTAGTCAGGATGTGCTTGACGGAAACACTCAACAAAATAAGAATCGGTAATAATCCGTCCGAAGGTTTTGAGGTTCGTTCGGGTTCAAAACAGGGGATTTCACTGTCCTGTTAAATTTGACATTATAACATGCCATTAGGGAGGTAATTTTTACTGAAAAAGGGTTGGATCTCGGTGGGACAACACACGTACTGGGCTATGCCGATGATCTGGTACTGTTTAGCGAAGACGTGGAAACTATAAAATTATATACGACAACGTTAATGAATGCCAGTAAAGAACTAGGGCTCGAAATAAACACGGAAAAAACGAAATATATGGTTAACTGCAAAAATTACTATTAATATTACTGGTGATATCGGTATAGATGGTAAAATGTTTGAACAGGTAGAGAAGTTAATGTATCTAGGGTGTACGATAACTTGGAAAAACGAAATTGAAGAAGAGATTAAGGTTAGACTGAAGGCGAGAAATGATTATTTTTCTGTGACAAAACTACTTAGCTCGCGCCGCTTGTCCCGCAACTCAAAAAGTAGTATCTATAAAACCATTGCCTTACCTACAGTTCTTTATGGATGCGAAACGTGGCCTCTTACATTAAGGGATGAACAACGTCTTAAAGTTTTTGAAAATAGCGTATTGTGTAGAATATTCGGACCTAAGAAGGATGAGTTAACCGGAGAGTTCAGACGGTTAAACAACGCCGAATCGCGTGAACTATATCCGGGTAATATAATTGAGGGGATTCAATTATTCAATTATTATTGAGGCGATTCAAATGGGCCTGTAAAGTTGTTGGGCTTAGTAACGAGAGAATTCCTAACGGTCCGAAACGTCCGAACGGTAGACCGAAGCGTAGGTGGGAAGATTGCATTAAAGCCGATCTAAAGGGAGTAGCTTTGGACGGCGAACGGTGGAGAGAGGTGTGTAATGAGCGATTGGTTCGGGTTTGCTAAGCCTTTTATTATTATTATAATTTTAAAATTAAATGACTGAACGAAATAGTTTGGCTCGGGCTTTCAGTTTGACCTCTACTCATTCGAGCAAAAGTGGGAGAACAGTGTCTCTTTTAGGGCCTTTGCTCAGGTTAATTCATAATTTTCACTGAATTATCTCATCTTGACTTTCTAATGGAAAGAGGATTTAAAATCATCTATAATGGTGAATGTCGGCTAATGCTGCTCAACGATTCATAACTAAGTGCCTTTGTGGGGATGGGAGGGTGGCTGGGCGGTTGGAGGTGGCCCGATTGTGCGGCCGGGCGGGGGTCTTTCGCTCGCGCGCCGTTGGTGCTTCTGCTTCCAAGGCACCCTTCTGCTGGGAGAGCTATCCGAATCATAATAATTTATTTTAATGTCGAGTCCTCGATAAATAACTGAGAACAAGTAGGCAATCTCCCGAAAAAAAATTTCCTTGTAAATACGTAGGAAAAAACAAACAAAAAATAACAGGCTTTTATAATTTTTATACTCATGTTCCCTGAAGTTTGTTTGCACAGATTTTTTTTTTATTTTTATTTTATTTATTAATAGAATATGAATTTATTTATTATGACTCGTATTAGAATATAAATACATCAAGTAAATGTGTACATAGGGATATAATAACATGAAAATGCTTGTTGAGAAACTACCCACTAGTAGCACTCTAATAATATGTCTACATAAGATCACGAGGCCATCTTCTTTTCAGACGCCTCTGAGGATTATCTGGAATTGAAGAGGAAGCAAAGCTAGAAACGGGAGGATTCGAATGGTTGTGAAGTTTATTAATGGAAGGATAGGTATCCGATTGCGTAAAATCGGAAACGCACTGAAATTTAAACTATCTTTCTCCTCGCATTGACGTCTATAAGTGTAAAATTTATTCATCCCTTACCCAGATACTCATTCAGTCCAGACTCTTTTTTATCAAATAATTAATATCCGCCTAAAACTTCGTTAATGGCTTCATGTTACTTTGCCTAAAAACTTTTTATAAACAAAAATTTTCAGAAATGGGGCGGTGTTTCATTAAACTAATTAATTTAATTAGGAACCAAAAAATCATAAATACCCATTTGTTATTATTAATGGGATTGATATATTAAAGGCTTATTTTATTTTCATGGACAGCGTTTTTGTATCGATAAATATATTTGAAAGTTAACTTAAATAAAAAATGCACTTGGTGACTTTTTGCAATAAACCGACCAACAACGACTAGATGAAAACGCAGCACCTCTTCGCCGTTTATTATTTCAACTAATGAACCAATGTAATCGATAAAAATATTTGAAAACTTAACCTCACCTTAAAATTTGAGGCTTATGTTTCAGAATATTTAGAACACGAAAATCGATTACTAAAATTCCGCCCACCATCCGCGGCTCTTCTCTGAGACTACTGGACCAATTTTTTTCAGATTTCGAATCGACGTGACGAAGATCCTCCTACTTTGACATTACTATCCGCACTTTCGTTTCATGATCGTGACGGAAAATCGAGTTGGTATAGACTGTAGCGCCCAAATGAATGTACAGATTTTAAGGGTAGGAGTTTTAGGGCGATAAATTGCTAGATTATCACGCCCGTACCGATTTTAAGGTTGGCTAGTCTTCTCCTCGATCCTCTTTAAACTTAACTATGTAACACACTTCGATGAAAAGTTTTGCGACGTTTAGTTATTTAAATGTTTATGAACATTCTAAAAAAAAAAATTGTAGAAATCGAACAATTTGGTGCAAAGATATGGTGTTCTAAATACTTTTCATATGTTCTACTAATAACCTTATATCCTTTGTTTTGGTTTATTATTTTTGGAAAGTGTTTCATCAACTGAAGCAATGTTGTCTATTTTTTTTTGGAAATTATATATGGTAAATAAAATGTATTATTTATATCAATATTAGAAATCACCTTTTATATATTTTCCTTTATGTTTATGTTCCTTTATATGAGAAGTAATGTTACTTTTGATGTATAATTGTTGGGTAATAATATACCATTGTGTAATACTTTGCAGCATTTTTAAGTGTATTTTTATATCGGACATTTATTATTGTAATCTCACCTGTATCCTGGCTTCATTTAGTTTGGTGGTTCGTGCGAGTTCCTCCCGGCAGTAGATGTCGGGGTAATGGGACTTGGCGAAGGCTGCTTCCAGCTCGGCAAGCTGTTCCTAGAACAAGAGTTCGTAACTATTTACAAAGCTGTAATTATATTAAAACTGAATAGAAATCCAATGAATCCAATAAAAAAACTCAACTAATAACCTCAATACACAATTCTGAATAATAGATTATTATATTAATAGACACTAGAAAATTACAAAAGGGATGAAATGCTGAACATTTCCCTAGCTTACAGTATGCAGGTCCGATATTTAGTTTCTGAGATAACTTTTTCAGTTTATTTATTTATTTATTTTTTTTTTTGTAAGAAGTATTGACAATTAGCAAGTCTCGGTCGGGAAAACACTAATAGGGGGAAAGGAGTGCCTAGAGGCATCGATATCGGATACAGTTCACAAAATTAGGAGTTAAGTAATTTAACTTCCGATTGACTTCTTCGGTACAAAAAAAAAGAGATCTTTACTGACTTAATAGAACCGAAATTGTTGAACCCAGTAAGGGACAAACACATTTTAAAGTTTCCTTAAGGATGCCGAAAGCTGGGAGTTTTGCCCTAATTTTTTAAAAATATTTTTTCCTTACTTTAATTTTTTCTTTTCTTATTATCTTATTATTTATCAATACTTAAATAATAGATAAAAATAAAAAGATGTAAAAAAAAAAGACAAACCTGGGTGAAGGTGGTCCTGTGCCGCCGGCGGGCGGGGGTGGGGCAGGAGGCGGTGGTGGGGGTGTGGCCTGGGTGCGGCGTGCTCACCGGGCTCTCCGTCTTCAGCTTCTTGAAGGCACCTTCGCCGCCTAAACAGGCATCCTCATCAAGTAACCGCATTCACATATTATATTTAGAACTTATATAATAATCCTAGAGATACCAATATTTTGTATAATAATTTGTACATTCCCATATTCCACAAGTTTTTTAGTTAAGAATTCAGCAAATCCACAAAACAAAGAATCAAGAAAAATACTAAGTAGATACTAAAAGAATAATAACTAGGTGGGAATAGGTCTAACGGCGGACCAACCTCCATTTTACAAATTATACAACTGTTCATTTAACTGTATTACTCGTTGCTCAAATTGTATAAATGTTTATATTTTTTCTGTAGTTCAAATCTTATTACTTTTCAATCAACATAAAATAAATAGAACGAAACCACAGTTCGGACAAATTTTTAATTTCTTTAAAATCTATATAGGGGCGCGGGGTAGCTCAGGGGTAGGACACTGAGCTTCCAATGCAAAGGTCCCGAGTTCGAACCCCGGCTGATGGCAGAAAATTAATTTATCTGTTTCATTGGCCGTGGGGCGACCTTGGGTCAGGAGTCCCTCCTGGGGCACAACCAGCCTCTATAAAGTGGGTACCCTTAATTAAATAATTGACTAAGGGGGAAGAAAACCTGGCGGTTGAGCGTGATCTCGGTCAAATCACCTCCTTGCACGACCGTGGATAATTCTGGAAATAGGTGTTTTGTCATCGTTACTGTTCGACCCAATTTTTGTCTTCGTTACGGTCTGTCCTGCTTTGTATATGTAAAATAAAACATGACGTGATCTCTTTCTTAGTCCTCCCCTACCTCGCTTTATGGGCTACACGGGTTTTTCCCCGGTCAGGGGATGAGGGCGGGAGTTAATACCAGAGTTCAAAGTTCCCCGGCACCGGGAATATATATAAACAATAGTTACTATTTTTGCTGACATTTTTTTTTATTTCCAGAAAAAAATTATATAAATAAATAACGAAGATGGAGAATCGGAGTTCACGCTAAGCCTCAAGGCTCTGGGAGTGCTGTTTCCACGTTTCTGTGCTTATCTGAACATTTTTGATATCATTACTTTAATTATATTCCAACAGATTATGCAATATCTCATTCTAGAATACTTTGAGCCACTAGAAAATTCAAAGGAAAGACTTTCTGAGTGAAGCCTCCTTTTAAAAATTGATCGTATTTTTCATTCGTACATTTTTGTTTCTATGAATGATACTTCAACAATTATAGAGGTTTATTTTACTGTTTGAAGTCTAATTTATTACTTTTTTTTTTTTTTAATGCTATGTCATTTTGTCCTTATTTCTATGTGTTATATTGATACTTCTTTATTTATTGTACTTATATAAATACTATATATATTATACTTAATTATTTCTTTAATTCCGTTTTCTATGAATATTATGTGAATGTTCTCTCTGATCTCTATTGTAATTGAGGACAAATACTCTCAATAAACAAGGTTAAAAAAACAAAACAATTATATGTTCTATTTATAGTCCGTGGTACAGACTCCTCTTTATCAAATTATTAACATCCTTTTGAAACTTCGTGAATAGCTTCATCTCATCGTGACCTACAAATATTTTATTTGGGAAAATTCTGAGAATTGGGCGTTTTTAATCTGAAGATCCGCAAAATATGTTTATTAAATTATGTACTAAAAACTCTTGGATACGCATTTGCTTTCCTCTTGAATCGTTATATAACATCATCACAAAATCGAAAAATAGGTGGCCTAGAAAAATATTGGGCCGTTTGGCGTGACCTCCAACCCTAAAATATCAAAATAAGTAGGTTATATAGGGCAAACTGTCCAATATTTTTGTAGGGCACTTTTTTTTTTTTTTTTTTGATTTTTTGATGAAATTACATAAAGTTTCAAGTGGAAAGAACATGTATATACATGAGTTTTTTAGTAAATAATTAAAAAAGTTTGACAATCTTCACATTGAATGAAAACGGCCCAATTCCGAGAATTTTCGCAAATAAAATATTTGTAGGTTATGATAAAAAAGGATCTGTACCACGCACTATTATGTGTGAATTTTGCAGTGAAAAAGTCAATTATAATACAAATGAATAAAATGGGTGGTCAAGACCTTCAAGAAACACAAAAGTTGTATGTGAGGAAGTACTGTTATAAGGCTAACGGTTGTGTAGGGAGGGGATTAGACGGAGATCATACTCAACCGCAGGTTTCTCCCTTATTTAATTAAGCTAATAATACAACACCGAGGAACTGAAGAAACTAAATAAAATAGCTGTGGAAACAAACAAGTCCACTTCTCAATTAGAACTAACAAATATTATATCTAAGCTACATAATAAAGTATCACAGCTTGAGAATAAATGTACAGTGCTGGAAAAAAGAAACGTGTGTGTTTTAGAACCCCATACTCCCCTCCAAAACCCCTTAAAAAAAAAAAAAAAAATATCTCTAAACGTATTATTGTTCGTATAATTACATTTAATAGGACTCACTTATTATCACTCAAACACCATTTAATATAGGTAGATTCTTTATTTTTCTTCCAAAGTCATTATCGTTGTGAAATCGTAATTATTTTAGAAATAACAAACTCGGAATGTGAAGAGACTGGTATAACAATACTACAGCCTCATTCTAAGACCATTTAACAGTTCCATTCTCTAATGGGAGAAAGCTAATGGTGAAAAAAAGTGTTTGAAAACTTGAATTACCGAATAGCAAATAACAGATCTCCAGAAGAGCGAATAGAAGCAAAACATATTTTCTTCACTTCGCCAGAGCTTAAAGAAATAGATCTATCAATACCAAACAAATCTCAAAAATAAAAAGGACTGATGGTGGACTAGATATAACAGTTCATCTTTACCTATAAGCCAAGAAGCGTATATTTCTCAAACAATGAGGAAACATGACTAAAGCTAAATTGTAATGAACTAAATAAATATAAAACTGTTAGAGACATATTACTAAAGACTGACATCTCATCATCCCGCAATCCTAACAGCTATGGTTGAAGGTCATCACCCTAATAAATTCAAAATTAACTTTTCATACACTAGAAAATGAAAAACCAGACATTTTACCATCCGATAACGTATTATATTATCAACTAGTTTATTTTATTTTTTTAATATGTGTGGTTAGAAAACATTAAATATTTTAACAAAGAACGAAATCATTATTTTAAATGAATTTTGAATAATATGGTTTTCTGAAACTTGGTTACATGCGGTATTTAAGCCACCAGGGTATCAAGGAAAATGTTTCCTATGTTACTTTTGCTGATTAATCTATGGGGAAAAAATTCTGTTATGGGACATTATTTTGTTTATAGAATTTTATTTATTTTTGAGTAGAAAATTCTTGATATCTTGCATAAATCCTGTATATTTAATGGTTGATGCTGTCAATATTTATGATTTATGAGGGGTGGGTTAAAGTTGAAATGTATAATGTATTGAGGATAACTCCCCTGCTGTAGTTAAAATTCTACCAAACCAATGTACATAAATAAAAATAAATTTTGAAGAGAAGAATAGTTGGGGTGGTCAGTCAAAAAGGAAGGTAAAAATAAATGATAATATTTATTTTTACATATGCCGACGTTTCGACCTGAAGTTCAGGCCTTCATCAGGGCTGTCTTCTTAAGTGTTGCAGGGAGAATTTCTTCTTCTCTTCATTATCCACGACAGTCAACCAATTACCAATTATGAAAAATAAACTTTCTTTTTTAAAATTATAATTAGAGTTGTTCAAATGCTATACCAATACGAGATGATCTTGGACTTCCGCAAGAATCTTTCAGTTACTTATTAGCTTGTTGCTATTTATTAAACATGTTACTTCAGATCTTAGATAAACGCCAAAGAATAAATACATTTAGATGTTTTATTGACATTAAAATAGTGAAGTCTAACCAAATTAATATAACTAACTTGACAATACATTAAAGGCATTGTCAAGAAAGATAAGACCCCCACCTTTGGAATGGAAAAGTTGTAGAGTAAAGACAATCTATACAATGTCACCAATAAGAACAATTATAAAAATCAGTGTATAAAATTCAATACACTGTAACGTTGCTAAAACAGGTCCGAAATTTTACAGTTTTGTCGGAATTTTTTTTTTGTTCTCCCGCACCTAGTCTTTTAGGATACCCACCAGGGCGGGGAACTAATGCCAAGTTAAAGGACCCCCTTGGCACGAGAACGCGATATCTCAATTATTTTATAATTTACAACTTCGGTTCTCAGGTTTACGAGCAACGCACTGTGATGTTTACGCGTTAGCCATCCCGCTCCGTTTTTTTTGCCGGAAATTTTTTTTTTTTGTTCTTCCCTAACTCGCCTTTTAGGCTATACGGAATTTTCCCGGGCTGGGGGTGAATCCCCTCTGGTACCGGGACGCGAACTCATATTTTTTTAAATCTCCCTTAACTTCGGTTATCTGGTTGCCGGGCAACTCGCGATGCTGTGTACACGCGTTCGGCCGTTCGGTCACCCCCATGTAACCTCTTTATTTTGACATGTTAGGGGTGGAGGTCAGGCCAAACAGCACAATAAATATATACAGAAATCTCTAGCCACCAATATTATCGAATTATTTTACGATGCAAGTGGGAAAAAATGGGTTTAGGCGAGTTTTTGGTACCTGATTAAATAGACTAATTTTACCGATCTCCAGATTTAAAACTCCATCATTCCAAGAATTTACATAAATAAACAAATTGTAGATTACAATGAGATGAAGTTTTAGGCGGATGTTAATAATTTGATAAAAATGGGTCTGTTCCACGAACAATCACATTTCTTAATGATTAAAGGAAATCCTCCATTTAATAGATATCTAGTGTTGCCAGTTTCATTAGAAAAAAAATTGAAGCTGTTATACAAAGTAGACTATGGAAGGATATACTGTTCCTATCTTTTCCTTGTCCACTTGTCTATCGGCTTGAAATTTTTTTCTCGTTTGATAAGTGTTCTCATATCTAAGATAGGTAGGTGATAGCGAGTGACTTTGAAATGATTCATTTGTAATTACATTTTTTTTTTTCATTTTCGTAATCTA